GGTACCGGTCCGCGGACCGGCGGTTGGGGACCCCTGTTCTAGACCAACCACCTGCTCAAGCAGGAAATCCTAAAGCCATGATGGCGAACCTATGGCATGCATGCCACAGGGGGCACGTAGAGCTATATTGTGCGGGCACGCAAGCCCCGGCCAAACGTAGCTGCACTGCACATGCGTGCACCTTCCAGCTGGTTTTCAGCCCGTTTGAGGCAGTTTTCGCCGCCCTGGAGACTTTAAGGGAAGCCTCCGGAGCCTTTGGAGGCCGAAAAATGAGCCTTCTGGGAATACCAGAAGTGCCGAAATGGGCCCATTTTTGCCCTCCCGAGGCTGCAGAGGCTTCCCTCGAGCCTCCAGGAGGGCAAAAACAGCCCAAAAATCAGCTGGGAGGCGTGTGCGTGCGCAGTGCAGATAAGGGGGTGGGGCGAGGGTGTTGCGCGGGGGGGGGCACATTGCATTGTGGATGCTGCATGCTTTCGGCACACCACCACAAAAAGGTTCGCCATCACCGCCCTAAACCATTTCAGACAAGTGAATCCACCCAGTTCAACGGTTCCTTCTTCAATAAAAACAAACCAATGACGGCGGAGCACGAGCGAGTCAGACTTGTGGCAATTCCTGACCTTGACTCGAGTTCAAATTCTCTCCCTCTCTCTCTCTCTCTCCCCCAGGTTGCCTTCCCCGAGCATCACTGGCTTTCCAACGATCAGCTCCCTCTCTTAGAAGCTCTGCTGCCTCCCCGGGAGGAAGTGATGGTTTCCGAAGAGATGGATCAAGTCGACCTGGTAGAATTCGATCCCAAAGAACGAACGTACCGAAACCACAGCGAAGCCTACGAAGAGGACGAGGAAGGCCCAAGGACGGGTGTCCAGTGCCAGACCTCGTGAACCGAGAGGACTCTGGGCGCGTGGAGAGTTCGTCAGAGCGCCAGGAACCGTGGCCGGGGAGGGCTCCGTTGGTCGACTTTGGCGCGGTGAATGGCTGTATATTAAGTTCTGTTTCATATTTATGTGTTCGTGTTGTAAAAAAAGGAAAGAAACGGATCCGTGTAACTTGGAACCCCAATGTGCAGCTGTTGGATATTAATAAGATTTTTTTTTCTTACTTACACTAAAGTAACCATCCCAAGCCTGTAGTTTTTCTGGCTGCCCGGGGGCTACGGAGAATGTTTGCTTGGGGTTATTAAACCAGAAGTGAGCGGGGGTTTTCTTTTTCTTTTTTTTTTTGAGAAATGTGCCTGTAAAGGTTTCCCCAGCAGGAGTTAAAACTTCGAAATGTTGCCACTTCACCTTAAACAAGATTGTCTCCATATCCTGGATTATTGAATAGGTATTTTATCAAATAAAGTATCAGGACCACTTTCTGGCGTGGACCCTGAATGGTTGGTGGCTCTAGGTGGGAATTGTGCCACTACTAACAGGGAACCTGATGGAAAGAGTTTGGAGAGGGGTACCTCATCCACCAGATGTACAGGTAGTCCTTGACTATTACAACAGTTTGTTTAGCGACCGTTCAAAGTTACAATGGCACTGGGACTTGGGACAGGTTTTCACACTTACAACTGTTGCAGCATCCCCATGGTTGCATGATCAAAATTAGGGCACCTGG